CAGGTTAAGTGAGCTTACCATGGCCATTAGCAGTCAGCAGGGAGCCAGGTCCCAGCTGAGCCACTCTGATCTCCAGAAGCCACACCAGTGACCACTAACTAGGAGGGCTTGGGACGTGCGAATCTGTCAAGGTGCTGATGGAGGGAAACAAGCATGTTGACTCCTGCAGGGACACACAGAAGCTGGTTGACCTGGAAGAAAATGAGGATTCTGATTGGCTGCTCACTGGCTGGCCTGCAGGGACATGAGGATTCTGATTGGCTGCTTGCCCTCTTGTGGTTTCAAATTAAGATTTCTATCATGTAGCATGTTTTACTTTATAAAATACCCATTTAACTTTTCCTGTGCTTTTACTTATCCAGGTGGACAGAGTAAGCCGGTTATTGCTATTCGAGAGATGAGGGGGCAGCTAGGGAAATGCTTAGCAGCCCCAAGTCCCCCAGCCAGTAGACGACACCATCAGAGTCACGTGCATTGTTCTCCCCACACACAACTCTGGTACATACCATATAACCACTCTGTCCAATTCCACAAAGATGTGCTCCGTTGTATATTTGAAAGTTAACCCTCACCTGAGACATGACAGCACAACTATCCAGACTCCCACCACTACTACCAGAGAAAGGCCAAGCAAGCCACTCTGAAGGACAAAGAGGAGGGACAGGTCTGTGGCTGTCCATGCTTCACATCTGTTCATAAAACCAATGCCAAAGCTTTGGCAACATCAGCATCTTTTGTTATAACCACAAAACCAAAAACCTCARTGCTCTGATATCACGTTGGGTTTGCATTCTGAAGAGATTCACATCTCTAAGGAGTTACAAGACCACGCGCAAATCCAGGTGCACAGGCATCTCTGAACTGCGAATGAACTGCAGCTTGTCGGAGCTGCCCAGTACTTCCTCCCAGAGGGGCTCAGACTGCCCAGAGGAGCCTAACACGGGCCACCAGCACCCCCTGGAGAGCCTTCAAAGGGATGGATCCCCAGGTTCTGACCCCACAATCGGCCTTTCTAACCAGTACTCTCAGACACTCTGATATCAGCGGGGCTCGGACATGTTTGCAATGCTGCCCTTGTTGCCCACAAATGGCCAACCTCATGGAGAGCAACAGGTCCCAGGGGCTGGCTCATYAGGCCTTGCTGGAGCCTCAGTCCAGGAAGACTCCCACCACTACTACCAGCAGCAGCCAGACCTGAGGCTGGTGCCCAGCCCCCACTTGCAGGTCCTGTAGGCTGGGGAGTGAGATGAAGCTAAGTTTAAAAACAAATAAAGAGTAACGACCAGGTATTACATCTCCTACTTTGCCCTGAAATTCATTCCCTCTTCATCCATGTATCTCTGAAATCCAGTACTGGAATTGTCCAATTTGTCAATAAGGTGAGTTTTCTAAACTACTATCCATATGACTCAATTTGTCAGTAAAAACTGCCACCAGCGCTGTGCTTGCAAAAAATGTCCATAAATGCATTATTGCAACCAGCAGATCGATGTCTATAATAAAAACACATAGATTTAACAAGTGCCGGCCCTTTACGAGTCACACCATTGGTGGGCTCTGCATTCAGGGTCACCCTGGACTTCTGGGAATGGGCCACAGAGCTGGGGCTGGATGCTGTACTGACTCCTAAAGTGCTACAGGCAGGAAATTATTCTAACAAGAGAATTTCAGAAAGAATAGTGTGGACCTACAGCCGTTTACTGCTCTCTCACGAGCCCTTTCATGGCCACACACGCATCCACGAAGTCAAATCCAACAGCCATAAGGAAGCGTTTGCATAGAATTGTTAGCTGGTTTGACAAGAGCTACACTACAGGCCTACAGAGTTTTCTCCAGATGGGATATGGGGACATGAGGCTCCTTGGAGACCCCACTTTGCTGCTGAGCCACCAACTCAGCTGAAGACAACTTGTGGTATAGAGAACAGGTTTCAACATCCGCACGTGGCCGTGAGTGCCACCACGGGGCCAGTAGCAGACCATTTATTTGGTTCTGTTGCTGGGGCTGACTTTCCAACACAGTGCAATAGACTGGCCTAACTGTAAGGGATGCCTAGCACTTGAGCTAGACACAGCCCGTGGCCCCTTGACACATGAGCCACATCTGCCCAAGCCACCAATTCCTTCAAAACATGCAAAAAAGATTCACTTCTCTTCTTAGACCACTCCTTTTAATAATTACACAAAAGAATAAGTTCTTCATAGGCACTGCCTGGTGTTCCCCAAAACATGTGGTCCCCCTCAGTAAGTTCTTTATCATGGTTAATTTTTTTTTAAGACAAGAGAAAACTAAACAATATCCACAGACAAGAAAATATGCAGAAGTTACATAAAAGCCAAGAGTTTAGGCCACAATACTGGATCTCTAACGTTTACCCACCTAAGCCCAGGATAGGCCTCCAGAGCAAGGGGAACAGTGCAYCACATACTCGCCCCCAAAACCTTTCACTTTGACTTCAAAACAACAGCAGGGTGCTGGGCTGGCTGCTGATCTGAACAGGCTGCCACAGAGCCCAAGCTCACCAGATGGCACCTATGGTGTGTCCTGTCTCTGATTTTAAGACCTTCAGGCAGGCCTGAGTGAGTCTGCAGCAGACGCCAGCTCTGAGAAAGCAGCTGCATCAGTCTACCTAACCCAGGGGACAGGGCAGGGGCTGGTGGCCTTTCACCTGAAGTTTAGAGACCCAACCAGAAGCCAAAGGTCTCAGGGGCAGTGGACCTAGACCAGGGTGCTGAACCAGGGAGCTGGCTGGGTCAGGGTAAAATGTGAGCAAACCTGGTGCRCAGAGGGTCCTGACTCACATGGTTCACTGTGCTGTTCCAACTTCACCATGGTGCGAAAGCACACGCGTTCAGCAGACACCAAACTTTGAATGTTTAATTTGGGTTTTTCCCCAGGTAGCAATATGCAGTAAGATACCGTGATCCTGGCAGACACTGCGGCAGCCCCAGTCACAGATGAGGCTGGCGACCCTGGTGTGCCTGCGGCTGAGTGAGGTATTCAGGAGGCCAGGCACACTCAGCGCAGCCTGGCCTGCAGYATGGTCAGCCGTGATGTGTCTGTTAGGACACATCCCTGTCACCAGTGGAGGAACACACATCATACTCCCAGACGGTCAAAGAAAAGAGAATTCAGAAAATACTGCTTCCCAYGTTTTCCATTAAGAAGAACAGACTGCAAACTGAAAAGGGCACGAAGGGGAGACTTAAAGTCCTGATGGTTTGAATCACTAGCTACTAAATGGTTCTCCTCTGGAAAACAAGAAAAATGGCAGCAATTTAGAAGGTCTATTTTATTAATGAATACTTAGGAGAGTCAAGTGCTTAGGTCTCCTGAGAAAGGAGGAACAAACTCCAGGGAACTTTAGGGAAGGCGAGATCTATGGCCCTCCATGCCACTCCTTCTCTGCAGGAGGGACACCAGGCCAGACACCAGATTCAGTGATGGAAGGCGGAGCAGGAGACAAGGCTGGCCCAGCGTGAGCCACTAACCTTAAAGCAGGACCCTGAGAGCCATGCTCTTYTCTCAGAGGAAGGCAGGCTTAGGAATCTCAGCAGCTGAGCCATACCCAGTGTGTACCTAGGACTCCGCTGCTTTAAACCCTGCTAACACTGAAGCCCTTTCAAAGTAGTGCAAGATATCAGTAGTTAAATCCAGCTATTATAATAAAGATTTTTTTTTCTAATGAAAGGAGTATTTACACAGAGAAGCACCTCAAAGCAGTGTACTTGAGGCCTGGTTCCTATAGCTCCAGACTGGAAGACTCACCTCTACTGTCAAATTTTAACAAGATAAACAAGAGGCGGGGCCCAGGGAGAAATGGAAGCCCTTCTAGTGTGGGCCACTTTCCCTGGCCACTTGCAGGCTCTGGTTCCTGGCAGATCCCTCAATAATGCTGTGAGTTAACAAAATTAACTACCAGATGGGTACCCCACCCTCCATGCCAGTGTGCTTCGCCTTTCATGCCCAGGGGTGTTTCAGCCACTGAGAGACCCATGAAAACAACCAAAGCAGGTCGTGATCCTCTGTCAGGGACGGGGGGACAAAGAGGTGGATCTGTCTAGCAGAGACACCACAGGTTTACACTTGGTTATATATTTAAACCAGTTAACTCTTAGCTCTTTATGTTTAACAGTTGGCGTGCTCCAGACCACTGCGGTGACCCCTCTGGACAGAGCTGCTTCCCTGTGTCTGACCATGGTCCAACCACYCAAAGGTTTTACACACACATAGAAATCTTGCTTTCCCGGACAGAAAGCCAGCTACTGGGCTGAGGCAACCAAGAGTAAATACCATTCTGAGACTCAGGAAATGATGAACCTAACGAGTGAGGAGTGAGGAATACATACTTTAGAATTACTCTCCTGTATTATCACCAACTGGGGAATCAGGGTGCCAAGTGTAAATGGCTCTCCAACTCCACGTGTTTACTCTAAGTGTTTATGGACCCAATTAGGGCATAATGTATACAAACAGCAGCCCTGATAAGTGGAGCACCCTGGAACTCTGTACTCCTCTATGCTGTCTCAAGCAAGGAGGAAACAGGGGCTCTGCACAAGCAGCATGCTAAAGGCTTGTTGCAAGAAGGGCCGAGCAGGGGYTTCTGGAATCTTCCTGGAAGAAAGGGGGAGTGCCCGGGGGAGTGCCCCCCCCCCCCGTGTGCTGTGCCTTCAACACTAAAGAGCAGCAGAGTGGGCAGGGACACCTCAGGGTCCAAGTCTGGCTTCAGCAATGCCTTGAAAGTGTTGACCATCTGGAGGTGTGATGGGGACAGCCACAACCACCAAGCAAGCAGTGCAACTTGGCCTGTGAACTCCAAGCCCAGGGGAAGGCAGGGCATTCCTGAGTTTCACCTGGGGCACACGTGGGGCCGGTCCCTGAGGGCTGGGTGGGGGAGGGCGCCCAGAAGACTACTCGTGGGCGGTGGCCCTTGTCCCTCAGGCTCCCGACGCCCGCTCTCCCCAGCACTGTGCTGGGAAGGAGGTGATCCAGACACTCACCAACTTGCAAGGATGCTGACCGCCAAAAACTGCGAGCACCAGGACACMAGTGCTCAGGAACCGGTCTGCCCAGGCACTCACGGGGCCCAAGGGGCGGGGCCTACGGGGACGCGGCAGSGCGGGGCCGCAGACCTCGGGGAGCGGAGCGAGCTGGGGAAGTGGGGGCGGGTCCTGGGAGAGTCGGGGCGGAGCCGGGTGGCGGACAGCGTGGGGGCGGGGCCTTTGGGGGCGTGGCCTGCGGGAGGAATCGGGGCGGGCCTGTGGGATCGAGGCGGGGCGGGGCCTGCGGGGGCAGGACCGGGGCTGGGGCGGGGCGGGGGCAGGACCGGGGCTGGGGCGGGGCGGGGGCAGGACCGGGGCTGGGGCGGGGCAGGGGCCCGCCGGAAGTGGAGCCGAGAGCCGCGCGGCTGGCGATGGAGCATGCCCAGTGCACGGCCCGGCCGGCCGCTCTGCGCAACCTCCCTGTGCGCCGCGTCTAAGAGTCTGGCGTCGGGCGCTCTGCCTGCCTCGGCCTCTGGGCTCCGCCGCTCAGTGTCCCTGCTCGTGACCCTGCCAGCCTAGGCTGCCGCGCGCCCCCAGAGGGCGGAGGCGGGGCAGGAGGCAGCCCCCTCCAGGACTGCACCTGAGAGCGCGGCTCACCTGGCGGTCGCCCGGGAAGTAGGCCGTGGCCCAGGCAGCAGGACTGCGCAGGTGCTCTTCCGTGAGCCAGGCGCCAGGTGCGCGTGCTGCACTCGCGTGCTGTGAGTGGAAAGCCATGGTGGAATGCTGACCTCTTGTCTCAGAATGTGACCTTGTTTGGAGGTGGGGCTATTACAGAGGTAACAAGTGCAAATGAGGTCATGCAGTAGGGGGACCCTAAGCCAGTAGGACTGATGTCCTCGTGGGCAAAAGGTGACCTGGAAACTGAAACTTGGAGGATATGTCCAGAGCCAGGGCACCTGGAGCCATTAGGGCTGGAAGAAGGCCGGACGGCTTCTTCCCTAGATCCTGCAGAGAGCCGGGCTTGCCACACCCTGGTCCATACTTCTGGCAGCCAGAACTGTTAAGACAATAAGTTTCCATGATTTTAAGGTGGTCTAACAATTTGTGGTATTTTGTTATGGCCACCCCAGAAGATGAGTCCAGATGCCATGGTATGTAGCTGGGCAAGCATAACAAACCCAGGGAGCAGGATCATCCCTGGAACTTCAGGGGACCCACCCATTGGCAGTTTCTGTCCCAGGTACACCTCATATTCTAAGCACCATGCTACAGGCCTCCTGGGGTGCATTTGTTTACATAGTTAGTGGAACAACATCTCTTGCCTTCCCAATGTAAACTCCCCTGTAGGAATTTGGCCAATCCTCATATCCTGATCTTGTGACTTGCAGGATCTGACACATTAACGTCGTTTGTAAAAGTATTTAGAGGAGAACCTCAGCCGGGATGGTTTTATGATGAGCCCCAGTGATGCACACAGGAGATCTCTGAGGATCTCCACCCTGGCCATGCCTTCTCTGGGACATGCTTGTTGGAAAATGAATGAGGCCCTGGGTACACAAAGATAATCAAACCAAGGCACCTACTTCTCCACTGAGCCTAAATACAGAGTTTTCGACACTATCCCAGTCAGCCGCAAGTATTTAAGCTCAAGTGGCAGGAGAGATGAAACAGGTCGCCTGACTCTACTCTTTTCTGTTGGCTGTCTCTGGGTTTTAGAAAATTCATCCAACTTCCTCAATTCTACTTCTGTCTTCTATAAAGGAGTTCTAAAAGGGCCTSTTACCCTGTCCCATGACACTCTTGTCCTCACCTACCTCTCTGGAACACAGGGCTGCTCCGAACAGGGGTATGGCTTGGTGCAAGGTACAGGAAGGAACACAGGGCAGATCAGGAGGTTGGAGCTGTGTTCCCACCCCGCCCCTCACTGAGCCATTCACCCCCAACTTCTCTGTAGGATAACATGACAGACTGGATGGGCGAGAGCCCTTTGTCCTCCGGGTTTCCCATCTTGGTATTAAGGAATTGTGTTCCTTTCTTCTCTGGGTACAGATTCCCAGGAACGACATTTTACAAAGCAGGTGGGAAACCCACAGAAGGTAGCTCAACTTCAGTCTGACTTCTCAAAAGTGCTTCCTGGATTTTCTTAAAGATCTGCCAGCTTTTTATGGGCGCAGGGAACAGTGTTAATTTGTGTAGTTTCTTTAAAACTCCGAACGGATGGCTTTGGGGTTAAGCAAATGGACATGACACGTGATTGCTTCTAATGATTTGCAACCCAAGAAATTTGTTTAATAAGCCTCTCTTTCCTAGCTACTTTGTGACATTAGAGACCATTTACAACAAAGCTGTCTTCAGTAGTCAAACTTAATCCTTACTACCCTACCTTGGGGAAATGAAGGGATTTTATAACGATCACATAAAACCTTATGTGGTTTGTAAGCCCTGAACTCCGGACAAGCTTGAGGTGGTCGTGTAACAAAGAAACATATCACTGAGATCCCACTTTAAATGTTTTACATATGGTTTGCTTTTAGGACAGCATCTCCAGTGGAGAGCTTCCCGATTAACACAATCGATTTTCTCGGCCCCAGTGTTCCTGTGCAGGCTGGAGCCAAAGGCCAGAGTCAGCGCCTCAAGCCTGCGAGAGGCCTGGCGCCAGGAGGTTCTGGAGAAGCAAGGAAGTGGGGAAGGGTGGGCACTGGCAGTCTCTGCTGGCACTCCTATCCCACGCTGGCTCTCAGCAGGGCTGGGCCTCAAGGTGTGATTGCAGCAGACTGTAATTGCAAGAGTCAGGGGCACAGAGGGACTCCCTGGCTCTCCTGACGCTACACAGAGGCAGAAATTCCTTCTACCCAGGAGCCTCTGGGAGCTTCTACTGAGGTCTGGAGCCCCTTCAGATTCCTCTTGGGTTGAGGACAGGGGACTGCCTAAGGCAGTCCAAAGATTCTTTGGGAAGATGTTTCCTAGGACTTTAGGAGGCCTGGGCGGTGCCTGGGCTGGAGGGGCAACAGCTCTCAGTTCCCCGGGGTCTGGAAAGGGAGAGGCTTTGCTTCTCCATGCTTCTCTGGAGCTCTGGGCCCCTCCAGATGCGCTGGCGACAGTGGGTGCTCCACTCCTTCAATAAGCCCTTCCCTGGTGTGCCTGGCCCTGTGCAGTGGCTGCCCCCTGCACACAGCAGACACACAGAGAGGCCAGGGTACCCCTGGGGTTGGAGCGATGCTGTAGGAAAGGCCCCCAATGGGGAGAACACCAACACCGGGAGAGGTTCAGGACCACTGTTGGTTTGTTTTGTTTTGTTTTTTTTTTTTTGGAATTTGGATCCATTTGCCCAGTAATGGTTGGACGATCATCCCAAACTGTATGTAATTCTTCCTTCCAAAGAAGAGAACTGAACGTCCAGGAGTGTTTATGCCACATGTGAACAAGTCAACAACAGCCAGCTCTTCGGATGTAAATATTTGGACAAGGCAGCTTGGAGAGCCACTTCTGCCAGCGAGCACATTTGGGGGCGTCCTCCCAGCCCCGCCCATGTTGGCTATTGAGTGTCAAGCCCTCAGGACTGGGCATTTTGTCAGATGTCGGTCTTTGGAAAGAGGCTCCTACACTCATTACAAAGTGTTTTTGATCCATTTTCGGGAAGGGCTTTGTTTGTAACACATTGTTGGCAGTTTGGGAAGAATCTTTTAAGTGGTGTGAACTGCTGGRGGGTGTGCACCTGGGCGCCAGGAGGAAGTGGGTCTCCCGCCCCCGCCTTCTGGGATGAGCCAGAAGCGCCTGTTATTTTGTGACTTGGAAATTAAAGCAGGAGACCTGGGGATTTTGATGCTGAGATTGTGATCTGCCACCATTTACTTCTGACTGGTAAACCACAAATGAGAATTAGGATAGAAAATAGCCCTGCCAAATGTCCGGCTRCTGCAAAACAGGAACTTGAAAGTGGTTGTCCCCACCCCCACCCCCACACCAGGGGCAGGGTCCCCAGTCTGGCCCTGTGTGTTGGGCCACTGGTGTAAAGTGATGAAGGTGAACCTGAAAGGTAACAACCATCTGACCAGAGCTGGCATTGGGGACGGGACCGTCCTGTGATCCCTGAGAGGCACCAGCTTCCATCTCGGGAGCCAGGAAGGCGAGGTCCAGGCATGGCCCCTTGGTCTGTCTGAGGAGCAGCCAGTATTCAGGAAAGCCCTCCAGGGTCCAGGAGCCCACCCGACAGGGACTGAAAGGAATCCTGCTCCTGGACTTGGACTCCACCCGGGAAGGCTATGGGATTGGGAAGCCGGTATAAGGTGGCTCCTGGGGAGGGCCAGTGTAGGTGGGCCAGGTGGGCTCTTTCTCCTACAGGGGAAGAGACCCAGCCCTCAGGCTATGATTAGGAAGTACAGTGCAGCTCAAGGAGGCCAAGGAAGGAGGACCCAACAGCAGAGGCTGGGCTCCTTCTCTCTGGTCCTCTGTTGGGCTGTTGCTTTTCCACCTCCAAGCTGGTTCTCCACCCATGACCCCGGTGTATATCCTTCCAGCTCCGTGTCCCCAGGGCTGAAGCCAGTGCTCCCTCCCAGCTCCCAGTCGAAAAGCAAGCAAACAAACAAAAACCCACCAGAGAAAGGCTCTGATTGGCTTATCATGTATGACAAACTGGACTGACAGCATGATCCGGGACCTGACGTCCACCCAGCCAGACACGTGCACCTGGCRTGGCCAGGAGACCAGGTCTGATGAGGGTGGCAAGGGCAGGAGCTACAGGAGGTAGGGCGCCAGCTTGTGCCCTCCCTGTCCACAGACCTGGGCACTGTGCGTGCCCCTCGGCCTCTCACCCCATCTACTCTTCACTCCTGCTCCCCCACCAGCTGYGTGTGCATAGGGTGCAGGGGCGACTGCAGGGGGTGGGGTCACTGCCCCCTGCAGCCCTGTCTGCCCCCAGGCAGCAGAGGTGGCCTCTGGCCCATAAATGAGGTCCCTGGAGGCCGAGACTCTGCAGCCAGGCCTCCCACAGTCTGCTGACAAGGGGACCCTTTTCATGAAACCGGACAGTTAGACAAGCTGGCACCAGCCCAGGATGCTCTCCCAGTGAGGCCACATACACTCCTCAAGGCCAAGCAGTGTCGCCAAAT